CCAAAAAAAAAAGAAGGAGGGATATTTTAGAATTTGATACTTAGCAAAAAAATTAAATAATATGAGTAAATTCAAAGATCTGCGCATTCTCGGAAGCATGATGATATGCCAATAATCGGGTCACGCTGTTCGGCATCTTTAAACAAATTTGCATAAAATGGCTATGTCTATTTTACAGTCCGCTTTTTCTCTAGTCGAGCTTTAGCTGCTTGAGCAAAATTAAGAAGGCCTGCTATTCATCTACAAAAAAAATTGTAGCCGAAAACCTTTTGCAGCGGAAGAGTTCTGGATATTCACTTCCCTTGGATACAAACTCTTTGTGAAACAGTTACAATATCTCACAACTGACGCCATAACATAAGCATTTACGATGTAACAGGAATCATTCTTAACTTCCTCTTTATCGAAGGCTTTAAATCACCTAATTTGTATCATCTTTAGGACGTTGTGTAGATTCCGGAGAGTATCTAGGAGGACCACTGACTAAGTACATTGATACGTTTGTTGGGGTAGCTGGACCGAATCATGGCATTAGTCTGCAGGTTTGTTCACATATTCCCATTTTGATTAGTTGATTTAGTTCTACGAATTTCAGGTGGGAGGCTTAGCTATCCCTGGATGTGTGTTCAGTGTTATTCCAGTCTGTAATCAAGTAACCGGACTCTACTCGGGTATTTGTCCGAGCGAAAGCGAATTTTTGCAGGTTTGTATGCTTATTATTTTTATACAAACATCCAAACAACCGTCTCAAACTCTCCGATTCAAACCTTCCACAAATAATTCACTTTTTAGGACATCAATGGTCAGATTGGTTACGAGGGTATGCACATTTTCACAATTCATTCGAAGAAGGATCAAATTGTTGGTAACATCGTCTGCAACAAGGTATGTTAAAAATAATTCAAATCTAAACTTATCTTCATCCCCATTGTCTCGGAAATATAGTGTAAAACAAATTTAAAATCATGCAAAGTGAAGTACAAGCTTTATGCCTTGCTGATAAAGATGTAAATGAAATATGACATAAGTAGAAGAAATTACAACTTTCCTGTTTCCTTAGAATTCGATAAAACTCAGTGTTTAGATTTCTTTTAAATTTCGAAATGTTTAACTATGGTTTTGACCTGAAAACATACCAACATATATATATA